AAACAGTGCACGTACACACACGCGCGCACGCGGTAAGACCTTACAAGCGTAAAGGGAGCTCGCAGTCAATTTTAAATTGCAGTAAAGTACTTACGTAAGCTGGGGGATTTATAGGTATCACTTAAATTATAATCACCAAAACTTCACATATTCCATTATGGCAACGATCAATATTTTCACATGTATGTAAAAAAACAACCAGCACGAAAAATCGTATTTTATGTTGAGGAATTGCACAACACTTTGGCATGTACAAGTCTAAAAATACACAACGACGCGAGATAAAATAAAAAAAAAAAGTTTAACTCATCCATCATGGGTTGCCGGTAAATGCCACTGTGTGCCATTCATTGTGTATATTTGCATGAGTATATATTCAATTCACTCGATATATTGCACACATATATAAATATATACACACGCGCAGTATGTACACATGTGCATATACAGTTGTACATATATCATTAAAACACTCATATGTATTGTATTGTATATTCTTATTTCATCGTTTTACATGTCAGGAAAATATTTGACACCCAATACCAAAAAACGTTGCACCGTGTGATTTGTATTTCTCGCGTTTCTGTCGATTCCAAGCAGCGGGAGTCACACAAGGTCATATCGGGGTCACGTTGGAGAGGACACGCCAGGGTCAAGCCGGGGTCATTTCATTTTGACGTCACTAGTGGGGTAAAGTCACGTGCATTTGCAGCCATGAACAACTCCCCAAAATCCCACTCGTGGATGGATTTGGTGAACACAAGAGAGGACATCGTCGTAGATTTGACAAATCCGTGTGTTCAGTGCAATATATCCCTTGTGCATTTGCTTATTATACAGGCACATATATATATAGATCTATTTAAGTATATAAAACGAAGGTGTCTGCCTAGCTTTCTTTGTAATAACTGTTACTCTTTTTTATTTTCTACCATAACTGCAGGACAAAACGTCGACGAACTGGCAGCGCCCAGCGCCTCCCTCTTGCCCGCAAACACACACACGTGACCCACCGTCTGGAGCCCCCACAGGACGCACAGCATCAGGGGGTGAGGGGTAGGGGGTGACCCACCAACTCTCCATCCCGCACTCCACCTAGGGTTGCCACCTGTCCTGGCTTGACCAGGATCGTCCCTCTTGTCGAGTGTTCGCAAATGTGCTGGGGACGCTGCGAACAAAAATCCTCGCGGGAGATCGCGTGCATGTAAATGTGTCGTCGTTAAAGCCAGCGCCCACCACCCGACGCAGCCAATTGATGAGGTTTTGCCGAGTGAACAGGACGCGCCAGCGAGTTACGACTTCAGCGCGTCGGTTGTGCGTTGGAAGAGTGAACCCACAACATTCACAATTCGACTACGACGTTTGGCTGGTGATTGTGTAGGGGTTATTACGGGAGAAACGGCGGACAACAAACACAGGGCTGTCGGCACTCACATACACGGGGGGTCACACCGACGTCCGCATCAGTTATTGCCCACGCCCCCAGCCCTCGGAGGCGATCCCTATAAAAGGTGGAACCCAAAGAGCTCGAGGCAGTTCGACACGAAGCTGACCAGTGAAGATCCAAGACTCGGAGATTAGGCCCTGGGACTCCCCGGTCTCGCCGTCCTTATAAGGGCCGAGCCGGGTAAGCCAGTGGCGCGGCCCAAGAGCTTCCAGACCGCTGCCCTTATCAGGGCAAGGCTGGTTAGCTGGTGCCGAGATCTGTGCTTGCCAGGGCCAGATCAGTCAGCCTCCCGTAGCCCAGTAGAGGAGGACTGGGGGACAGGACAGAGGGCTTAGTACTAGGGTGGGTTTCCCATAGTACGGGTGAAGGGGCCGATACCCCTTCAACTATTGTATCTGTCCCGGAGTTAATAAACAGTGTGTCTCAACTTCCTCATCGTCTCCTCATCAACTTACTACATCTGGTGTCAGAAGTGGTCCAAGCATGGATAGCTTCATCAGGCGATTTGCCAGAAATAATATTGCTCGCTGAACGCCTACGTGTTAGAACTCCTTCCGGGAGATTAAAAGTCGTTGTTTGTGTCGGTTGCGCGATTAAGACACCCACTCAATAAAGATTAACGCCGGATGTTTCTTCTTTCCCGTGTGATGTCTCCCCTACCTCCCCCCCGCCCGGTCGTTATTGTACCCATGAGGTGGCAACCGTAGGCTGGCTCCAGCAGGGCTTTACATTCAAGCGTAGGGACACCATCGCTTCTCCATGCCGCGTGTCACAAAGCAACAGCGCACGTTGCTCTACGCTACAAATAGCATCACGTCACGACCAGCGTGCAACCCCGGTATCAGTCTCCACTCGAGGGTGGCGACTTTACCACGGCGTCGTGTGCCAAGCCTCTAGTGCATATCACAAAAGACAAACAAAAGACAAAGATCCCTCTCGTATAGCCTGGAGCAGACTGTTGAGGCAAGTGCTATTAGCGAGCAGGCCGGAACGGCATACACGAGGGGATTGGGTGGCTACCGCCACCCCCAGGCCGCCTTTGTCTCCACACCACGTACTCGTTTTAAGGCCGAGTTGACCTCGAGGAGGGGCCCAGGAGCGATTTAAATATTCGCCACCGGCATCGACCGTGCAACGGGAATCGAACCCGAGTGGCCGGGTTCTTTCCGAGCGCCGATGCGCTGACCGCCACGGCACCGCTCCCCGCATATCACACGCGCGCGCGCGCGCGCGCACGCTTGCACGCACGGGCACGATACATCCTCAGCGGACGTCTGCCGCTCGGGTGAGTGCCAAGAGCTCCGTCGCTTTTCTCCCCGCACCTGGCAAGCAGCGATCATTGCAGAGCTGAGATTCTTTCGCACCGTACGTGGCCAAGCGTGCTCATCGGCCATGGCTGGCGGGCAGGTCACAGGCAATGTGGGAGTGCGCAACCGGCCGTGCGATTGCGATCGACGCAAAGTTCCTCCTTCACCACTTGCCGGTGTCGATTTGCCGGCAATGATTTGCCACGAAAGTGCGCCGGTGGATCATTACACTCACCGGGAAAGAAGCGGGGGGGTGGGGAGGGGAGGTGGGGAGGGGGGTAAGGGGGCACACGTACGTGGCGCACAGACACCCTGCACTTCAGATAATAAAAACTCGCATTCGTCAAGAACAATGCCATGAACACGTTGAAAAAGAACACGCGGACGTTTTGGGCACCGGCGCTTATTCATCGCGTGTAAATGAAATGAAGGAGGGCCATTGTCTGAAACGTCGCCTACTATATAATTTTTCCATTTAAGTTCGCAGTGTCATTGAAAAAATGTGTTTAGTTTTTTTTATTACTTGTGCTTGTGCACCACTGCCGCAGCAACATCACCAAACAATGTGTTTCTTCTCCAAGAGGGGGAAACACATATCACTTCAGGGTGTTTATGCAACCGGCCTCGGATGTTCAAAGTCACTAGAACGTCACGTAGCTAAGCGTGACACTTTGAGAAAGAAAAAAAACGCGAAGAAATAATTCTTGCTAGTCACAATAACGCCAACAAAACAACAGGGCACCCTCGAGTCTGAACGCGTTTGCGTAAGCAGCGGCGTCCCATCATCGCACGCCCGTCACGCCATCGAGCGCGCTCACACCCTCCAGTCTCGCGGCAATTTAACGGCTTTAACTGTCCAATGTTCTCTCCCTTAACCCCTCGTAAGGAACACACACAAAGAAACAAACTCGCACGCTCGTGGCTCCGAAACTTCACACTCACCCGTGTCCAAAGACAAAGATTCCCCCGTGTAGCCTTAACCGACTGTTGGGACAAGTGCTGTTAGCGAGCACCTGTGAAGGCCGTCACGGTACACGAGGGGGTGGGTGGCCAGCACCACTCCCAGCCGCCTTTGTCTCCCCAGCGGTGATGTTTTGACACACGACACGAGGTACTCATTTGAGGCCGAGTCAACCTAGGGGTGGAGGCCCAAGACCGGTTCAGATAATCGCCACTGCTGTTTTCCGTGAGCGGGAATCGAACTCGGGTGGCCGGCTTCATAGAGCAGCGCGCTGACTGCTACACGACCGCTCCACCACCCGTTCTCTCACACACACACACCCACCACTGACGGTGACATTTACAGGCGGCAATTACCCATTTCCACCTCCTTTTAGTGGCAGCCAGTAAATCTTACACGATCGCGTTGCACAAACTTGACGGCCGCGCAAGTGCTGTAAACGCACCACGCTGTCCAGAGAAGCTTTGAGCTGCTCGTTAACTCACTTTTCCCCCAGCTGGCGTCACGGGGTAAAGTTCCCTTTCCCCGGGTGGGGGGCTCGAACCACACCTGCCCCTCACACCGAGCGGTCGACGCGCAAGGCCATCACAAGCAAAAGGAATGCAATGCGAAACGAGACCAATAAAAATAATCGTCATTATTCCTCATTTGAAAGAATCCCCCTGGAAGGTTTATGGCAGTGACAGGTGGCGCTCAGGTTGTACGTGTGTTGAACTTTTTTTCGCACCGTACGTAGCTAACCGTGCTAATCGGAGGTTCCTGGAAGCTTTGGCTTGGAGGGCCCCAAGGTTAGAATGCCATGTTGGGGCTGCCCCTTATTCATTCGCAAAAAAAAATTAGGCCCGTTGCTTGAGCTTTTCTTTTGTTTGTGGCCTGTGGCAAAATCCTCCTTTTGCTTCCCTCATCGGGGCGGCCCTGGTGGTGTTTGTTGGGCCCTCAAGCGCGGTCCACCGGCGGTGTTCCGTCTCCTCGTCCCCTCGAGCCACACGTCCCAAAAAATATCTCTGGCACGCGACGGACGCCAGCGCTCGGAACGCGCATTATTGGTGGAGCGGCACGAGAAGAGGATAGATACAGAGACCAATGCATGCAGGGCAAGACATTTGGGATTCTGCGCGGGCACCGCAAGCACGGCAGGACGGAGAGCGACACCGCACGGCACGGTGAGTGGCACACACCAGCTGAATTTGTGGGGTTCGCGTGTTGTTAGAGAGCACTTATGAAGGCCGGCACGTATGCGTGTTGAACTTCTTTCGCACCGTACATAGTCAACCGTGCTGATCGGTTGTGTATCATTGTCAACTTTATTATTATTTAAAAGAAAACAACCTTTGAAGTGGCCGAGTGGCTCGGAGTTTTAGAGCAGTGAGCTGGCGCAGCTGAGATCCTGTGTTCAAATCCAGGCAGCCGTCTGTGATTAAACCAGGATTCAAGTGGAGTGACTGGATGGTGTTAGCCCGTTCACCAATAACCGCCGTCGAAGGTGGCGTCGACTGCCATGCGACGAACATGACTCATATGTAGTGCAGATCGGATAGTGCTGCCCCCTACTCTGTGAAACGAGGGTCCATTTGTAGGTATCTCAGACATAGTTCTGTGGTATCCACTTCCACAGTGGGCCACTCCCTAATATGAAGAGGTTGCACTTCTCTATGAGAGATGCAAATTGATATTTTGTCTCAAGACGTGACCGCGATGGCACAGTTGGGGGAATTACAAAACAGAACAACCCCGAAATGCTTGAATGATGTCACTAACTTTATAAGACTCCTCCTGGTGCATGTTGCATTGTCCATTACGGTTTCAAAGTCTTCGCGTTTCACCAACCGAGCCAAGATAACACGTGCCCCCATTTACCAGTTCTCCGTGGGCAGCATTAACCGTCACTTGCGATGCAAACCGGTGTCGTGAGCTCAACGAGGTGGAATGTTACGTCCAGGGATTCGTTTCGGCCGGATTTGTCCGTTGACGGCAATCTCAAAAATAATTCCGCACCCCCCGGCACACCACATCGATCACGCCTCTCGCTGCTACGGCTCCGGCTGGGGTTACGAGTCACGTGCCTGCTCCATTCTAATATCCGGTGAGAGGTTTCACCGCCCCCCCACCCCCGTTCCCCCGGTCACGTCGTCGCCGCCGTCTCCGATACCCCGGCGCTGACCGGCAGGGGCCTCCGTGCGGAGCCGTGCATTCCGCCTTCCTCCGGCCGGCGCGACCTCGGGGGCGCCGCCTCCACCACGGCGCACGCGACGGACAGAGGCAGCGGCGCCAGCTCGCAGGGGTCGCCTCCCCCCCTCCCCGTCGTCGTCGTCCCTCCGCTCCTCGCTGCTGCCGCCGCCGCCGCGCGAAACTCCGGAGGCTCGGCCCGGAAGCGGACGGCGGCGTCCCCCGAGTCGAACGCGAACGGGTCCGGGCAGACGGGCGTCGTGGCAAGCACGGCGACCGAGGGCGGCGTCCCGCGGCGGGGGCGGCGGGGGGCGCCGGCGAACGACGGCTCAGCCAGGCGCTCGGGGGCGAACGCCACCGCGGCCTCTTCGTCGAGGGAGGAGGAGGAGAAGGAGGAGAAGGAGGAGGCGGAGCCGGCGGCCCGGGCCACCCTGCTCATGTCGATCATGTGGACGCTGCCGACCACGGCCACCGCGTGCGGCAGCGCTTTCGGCAGCTGCAGGTGGCGGGTTGGGAGTTGGCGCGGCTCGCTCGGGAAGGGCCGGGCGGGACCGCCGGGGGTGGCGCCGAAGGGGCGATCGTCCGGGGGCTGCGCGCGGACGACGTTGCCGGACGTCGGCCCGACCTGCGAACGAGACGGTGGATGTTTGTTGGAAGAATGCAGCGAGTGTTTAATGCGTATACGTTGGTTAGACGTACGATTAAAAGCGTTACCGCTGGAGTGAATGTGGTCGTGTTATTCTCGGAGCACTGAGTCGGCAATGCCGAGGTGCAGAATTTTATTCTGGGTATCAGTCGCATCGCGATTAAACTCGTACAGCGAATTGATGGTATCAGCCCAGTCCCCGATGACTCTTCATTGGGGATTGCATTATGACGAGGGGTCTCTGACCCGCCCATACTGGACATCTGTGAAAAAGAGCTTCATAGCTCATCAGATTCCTCCAGGCTAAATTAAGATCCTAAATCCGAAATCAGAGGAATAAAAAAAAACATAAAAAAAACAATCAACAACCGAGAAACAAAACTCACGTCAGCGTAGCACTGGGCGGCCTGCTCCTCGCACGAGGAGCCTCTTCCTTTACTCCCCGGGGGGTCTCCGGACAAACTCCCAGAATGCCGTGCGGAAGCCGTCAGGCCACAGCGGGCGGCGTCTGCGAGCGGAGACTGCTGCGGCCGCGGAGGCGCCACCCGCCCGCCGCCAGCGCCGCGTGCGGCAAGCGCCGGTGGGGATCGCCCCGTGGCAGGTGGTGGTGGAGCTGCCGCCACAACCGCGGGGTCGTCGGTTAGCCGGGCCGCGCCGCCCCTGCGCGGCGAGAGCGAGTGGGTGCGGCCTGCGCCGCCGGGGGACGGGGGCCCGTCCCTCGCCACGTCGCGCCGGTACGGCGACAGCGAGTGCGTCCGGAACGCGCCGTGCCGACCGGGGGAAGGCGAGCCATCGCGCGGCACCGCCCGCGGCCGGCTCGGCGAGAGGGAGCAGCCCCCGGCGAGGCGAGGCCGGTCCCGCATCGCGCGCTCGAGCAGAACGCCGAGGCGATTCGGAGACGGCGCCAGCGGCACTCCCTTGCCTGGCCGCGCGTCGTACGGCGGCGACCTCGTGCCTCCGCCGGCGAGAGAGCGACCCGGGAGTGCCCTCGAGGACTGAGATGGCGAGCTTCCGCCGGGCGTCACCGCGAGAGCGGGCGCCGCATCGTGCCGCGGTGGAGGGGAGAGGCACGTCCGCGGCAAGGGATGCGCGGCGGAGATGGAGGCGGCGCCGTGGGGCGGCGCTCGCAGCCTCAACGTCAGGCGGGCGACTTCGTCGTCGAAGGCGGCGTCGGCGGCGCTTGGCCACCCTCCGGCGGAACGGGCCCCGCGTTCTCCAGTCCCGCGCGGCTGCCACCTGCCCAGAGGAGAAGCGCTCCGGAGGTTCCCGTCGGATGTGAGGGCCGCGAGAGCCGCCAATCCTTCATCGTTATCGTCCTCGTCGTCTTCATCGTCGTCGTCGTCGTCGCGATCTCGATCCGAGTCGTCGGCATCGGAAAACTGGTGATCCGCCCTGGCTCCTGGAGACGGCTGCCACTCCGGATCTGCGCATTTCACGAGACGGGAGACAGACGCAGACAAGAGCCCTCATCGTCGTCATCATCGTCGTCATCATCGTCGTCATCATCTTCGTCGTCATCATCGTCATCATCATCCTTATCATCGTCGTCGTCGTCATCATCGTCACCGTCATCATCGTCGTCATCATCGTCGTCGTCATCGTCGTCATCATCCTTATCATCATCGTCGTCGTCGTCATCATCGTCACCGTCATCATCGTCGTCATCATCGTTGTTCATTAATTACTCCCTCCAGTGCCTCTGAAGGTGCCAGAACACCGAGGCGTCTGACATGATGAACTCATCTCGTCGTTCCGTCTCCGTGGTTGGTTGTCCTTTTGGACGCGTTCTCTGCTTTTTTTTCTTGTTGTTGTTTTTTGTCGTTGGCTGCCTCGCCATCGTTCGAAAGCAACGGACGGCTTCATTGAGGCGGAAGCAGCGAACGTTTCGCGCGTCACACGAGGAAAGGTGAGGGAGGGGGGGGGGGGGTCATCGCGAGGCAGCCGCAGCGGCGGAACGTCGACAGCAGGTGGCGCCACACGGCCGCAAAAAAAACCGAGCAAGCTCCCTTCGTCTCACTTAGCGGGCAACGTAAAACTGCTACAAAAGAAACTGATACAGCCAGGAACGTTTCATTTCACCGGGTGAGGCCCCACTGGGCTATACGGTTCTTGTTTGTTGATCAGAAGCGACATGGCCACAAATGATAAGCTCAACCACGTGGCCAATCACGTGGAAATTTACAGCAGCCAAATGCTTAAAGTGCACTTTGGTTTCTAGATTGAAGGGGGGAAAAAAACCGGAGGACCCGGATAAAAATTCACGCTACCACGGGGAGAGAGAGAGCGTGCAAACTCCACATATACAGGCGTCAGGGTCGGGATCGACCCCAGGAATCTTGTACACCGGGCGAGGTAGTTAACATCTCGCCACTGCTTGCTCCGCGTGGACGGATTCGCGGCCACGTGGATGGATCTCCAAACGCCAGGCAAATAAAAAAAAGCCACGTTTCACAGATGAACCGAGGACCCGGTGTCTATCGGGTCAGTGGGCAAGGATTGCCGGGAAAGATAAAACGATTCGCTACCCACCACCCTAACCCAATGGTCTTCACTCACTTTCAGAGGGGAGGCTGCTTTCGCCGATGAGACATCATCGGTGTGTGAGGGCCGCCGCACATTTGAAACCCATCGGGGGTTTGACAGCAGCGCGATAATGGGGCGCGTCAGGGGTCGCACTAAAGGCCACCAAGAGACCGTAGTGGTCTCGCGGGCCTTGCAATAAAAAAACACTGCCATAACCCCTACCAGAACATTTCCCCTCCACACCACCGCCCTCTTAACCCCCCACCCACTCACCGCCCCCCCCCCCCCCCCGTGATTCAACGAATTGCCTCGGTTGAGGGTCACGATAACATTATTCTTAGGTTTTTTCGGCAAAGTCACGTAGGTAAAAAATAAAAATAAAAATTAATAAAAGTAAAAAAATATAATCACGACGTTTCGGAGGCAACCTACGTGACTTTACCGAAAAACCTAAGAATATGGGTCACGATAACAATCAAGAATCTCTCTACATCTGTAGTTTCCGCCCCCACCCAAATGTGACCCCGATTGTGCTGTGAGCGCCGCGTCACGAAAACGAGAAATCCACTCCGAACTCTCACAGATAGAGGGAGAGAGGGAAAGAGCGTCGCCGACAATTTCGTTCAACAACGGCCCAGCGGATATCGCAAACCTACTTGTCGAATCCCTTCAACGTGGCTTCTGTTTCGCGCAGTAGGGTAGCACACCCCCGACCCCCCCCACCCACTCTGCATGCAAAGAGCGAGAGGCACAGATGGAGTGAGGTACGAGCAAACGGAGACGAAAAAGGACGAGAAAGAGAGAAAAGCAAGTCGCGATAGAAGTTAGACAGGTTGATAATTTAGAGATGTTATTTTTTAGGCTATGAGTTTAGAGCTGAACCTTGATGTATTTAATGAACCCAGGGCCCTCTTGGACTTCTTGTGAACCAAAACCATTAGTTTTGCTTGCTTATCTTGCTTATACGGGAGGCAGTGGGTTCGATCCCGACCCTGACGCTTGTATTTTTGGATTTTGCATGTTATCCCCGTGGTCGCGTGGATTTTTCTCCAGGACATTCAGTTTTTTCCTCCACATTTAAAATCGACATCACGCATTTAGAGTACTTGGCTGCGATACATTTCCAGGTGATAAGCCACTTCCTTGAGCTATCAATTGCGGCCAGGTCACTTCTGAAAAAGAGCCACGTAACTCAGTGGGCCTTACCTGGTAAAATAAAACTATTTTTAGTAATAGTTTGTATCTGCCGAGTTGGACCAGCGCCCCCCCTCCACCGAACCCCATGTTGCTATCCAACCAAGTCACACGTGGCGGCGAGGACTAAGCCAAGAAGCCATGCCCTCGCCCCCCTCCCCCCGGAGGCCGCCGGGCCTTACGTAACAGAGAGAAGAAGCCTGTGGAAGCTACCCGGAACCATCAGCAGAAACGAGGGCCACCCTGGGGAGGATGCGGGGGTCTCAATCTTGGCAGCTGTTGTCGGCAAAACTGTGCCGCTGTCTTTGCCGGCTCGGGGTGGGGGGGGGGAGAAGGGAGACTGGGAGCCGGGACGAAGGTCAGCTGACAAACATCAGATTGACAGATATTAGATATTGTTGACGGACGATCCATGAGTTGATGGCGTCGCCTGGTCGACTGCAAATTGAAACTGGCTATTTTCTTTGTGGCCAATTCCTCGCCGCCCTCGCGGCTCAATCGAGGCCTTCCTGCTTAAATTAAAGACGTTTCTGCTTTTTATTTTCGGTCGAGCCGAACAACAGAGAACCACGCCCCAAGACGACGCTCACCGTGGAGACGGAGTCGTGCCATCGGCCCGTTGGAGGAGCTACAGGCAGGATTGTTACGTGGAGAGACTGCGGTGGGGATTCTGACGGCGTGAGGAGAAGCTTTCATGCAGCAGTGGATAGCTAATCGCTGCTGCTGCTGCGTATGATTAAATGTATGCATCCAAGCTACCATCGATATTTCCTTTGGTCCACGCACTCTTCGGGACTCTGGGACACAAGAGGCGCTAGAGACAGTCAGTTGTGAGAGAATGTGAAGGGGATGACATGAGGGTGCTAAGGACTGTAGGGAATTATGATGGGGTACGAGTGGGGGCTAACTCCCCCCCTACCCCCTCTCCGCCTCACCTTGCTCCCCGGGGTCGTCTCCCATCATCGCGCTGATTCCCATCTCCAGGCACTTCTTGCTGTGAGCTTTGGACTTGACGTGCTTGGTGAGGTTCCCTGGGGGGAAACGGAAGCGGCGTCACCACCCCGTCGGCCTTGCGCGCGGGGGGCGCTGTCCGCGTTGCTCTCCCGACGCGTATTCGGGTGTTGCGCCGACCGCGTGCGGCTTTTGGTGCGAAGTCCGACGTTCCGCACCGGGACGCTCGCTGGCAGCTTCTTCAAGGAACCCAAATCTTGCAATTTAGCAATTCCTGAAGACGCTCCCAGCACGCGGAACGAAACGTCGGACATCGTGCCGCGGCGGTGGGAGGATCACAGCCAGGGCCCCAGGGTTCACGCGCTGAGGCGTGGCAACGAAGGGGCTTGCCAAAAGGGCACGACAGTCACTCCTGGTGACTTCTTAAAAAGTCAGCCCTCAGGGTGACTTACTCGCTTAGCTCAGAGTACAGCAGTATGGACTATTCTCTATCTGCCCCTCCTGCATGGGGCAGAGTGTTGCCCCCCCCCCCCCCCCCCACTCGCTCGCGTGGATTTTCTCCGAGTGCTACGGCTTCCCCCCCAAATGTATAATTGGCTGAAAACATCTCAATATATAGAGAACCGCTAAAGCTTGGGGAATTGTTGCCAGGAGCGGCTCATCGCCTGGCTGCCTTCTCGCTTTTCTGTGACTCCTCCTCTCGAGTCGATCCCTCGCTTCTCGGTGGCGCCCGACAAAGTTTAAATTACTCTCACGATTGTTGTCCCTCTCCTCTCTTTTTTGAGCCGTTTCGCCGCCGATCTGCCAACACAGCACCCAGGCCGGACGCGAGGTACCATACAAGGGGCCCCGTTGATTAACTGCAGTTGTGTAAAGTAAAAAAAAGCCAACCTCTCACTGCCCAGAACTCTAATCAAAGCCACCTAGTGAAGTTAAAAATAAAACAGAAGCAGCCAATGCTTCATTAGCTGTAATCATTAGACGGTAAGCGAGTTCCAACAGAATTACACAAATATGAGCTCGTTAAAATTCCACTGGCGCTGCAGAGGCATTCCCATCTGGGCGAAGCCGTGCAGGTGAGTGGCCATATTGCCGCCTGGGACCCTTCCTGCCACGACGCTCGCTGTCCCCCCATGAGGTTCCTTCGTCACCGCGTCCTGCGGTCAGGATGACCCTGCTCATCGACACGGGCCGGCAAAATCGTTCGTCCATCACTCCGTCAGTCCGTCCGTCGTTCCTTTATCTGTCCGTCCATTTGTCTTTCTGTTTATCTTTCCATCCACAATCTTGCGGTCGATCTATCTGTCTGAGCATTCCTCTCACCGACTGTTCCTTTCTCCATCGATCAATCAGTATGTGTCCCTATCAATCCATCCATAATTCAACAGTACATCAGTTTACCATTCTGTCTATCTCTCTGTCCATCTGTCCATCCGTCATTCCATACACTAGTTCATCTCTCCATCTGTGCGCTCTGTCGATGTGTCTGTCAATCCTTCCATCCCTTTGTCCATCTGTCCAACCATCATCCCACGCATTCATTCATTCACCCATCATCATACCATCCATTTTGTCCATCCATCCTTCGTTCTGGTCACATGTTCATCCATTATTCTGTCCATCCAGCCACCAGTCAGTCCGTCTGTCCGCCTACCCACCACCATTTAATCTGTCCTCGTAACATCTCATCCCTCCATTATCCCATCTGTTCATCCATTTTCCCATCTACCTGTCCATTGCTCCCTCGCTGCCTCCTCCCCTCGCTTCCTTCCTCACTCCCTCTCTCTCCGTCCGTTCGTCCGTCCGAAGCAACAGCTCACGGAGGATGTCTTGAAGCAGCAGCACAAAGGGCTTGCAGCACAACTGGGATAAACTGCGACTGAGCCCTGAAGCTGAAGGGAATTCTGAGCAGAGTGAACCTTGGAAAAATAAAAGCTTAGCATTATCTCGGGAGGTTTTACGGGGATCAGCCTATTCTACGGGCCTGTAATATAATTAGTAGCCTTACTAACGAGCATCAAGACAATGTTGTGCTGGAAAGCTGATGGGGCCAGCTCGAAAAATGTGTCCATGGCGCTCACCAATGCTGCATGGGTCTGGTGACTGTGGTGGTCTCATTGGCCGTGGCAAGATGTAAACTACCTCAACCTGGTAGACATGTTGTCGCGAGTTCCATCCCGACCCTGATGCCTATATATTTGGAGTTCTCCCCGTGATCGCGTGGATGATTTTTCTCCGGATCCTCCGTTTTTTCCCTCTGCATATAGAATCAATGTGCGTTTACAGCATTTGGCTGCTATAAATTTCCACACGACGGTAAGTCACTTCGTTGACCTATCATTTGAGATAGCGAGATCGCTTCTGAAAAGTACCTAAATAGCTTAGTGGACCTTACCTGGTAAAATAAAAAAATTAATTAGTTTTGTGTGGCCGTGACGGTCTGGGTAGTTACGTCGGTCTGCGTCGCTGCGTGGTCTTTACGGCTGCCAGCCACGTTGGTTCAAGCAGTGCCCTGTGCCTCGACCCTCAAGACCACCACGCGACCTTTCACCCGCAGCACGGTGGCGGGGGTCACCCCCACGCTGGCCACCACGGCACCCTAAAAGTATGCACGGAAACCACCGCTTGCACCCGTTGATTGGTTAAACGTGAAGGGGCAAGCTGTATGCGGTGGGAGGGTGTGGGGAGACCAGGGTGGGGATGACGGCGGCTGGATAAGGGGGACGTCACCGTCATCTGAGCACAGGGGCACCCAGCCCTGGCAGGCAAGACGGGGGAAGCGATTTGTTCCAATGCAGAAGCGTGCATTCCGTGCGCGCGTACTCTGCATGAGTGCGTGCGTGTGTGTGTTTACGTGGGGAACGGTGGCGCAACGGTTAGCGCGCTGCGCTACGAACCTAGCGAACCGAGTTCGATTCCCGATCGCTGCCAACACCAGTGGCAATTATTTTAATCGGTCCTGGGCCTCCCCTAGGTCGACTCAGTTTTAAATCCTGGTGCGATGTGCAAACATCGCTATGGGGGAGACAAAGGTGGCCGGGCGTGTTGCTGGCTCACCCAACGCCCGTCGCGTGCAGTTCCGACCTTCATAGCTGCTACTCGCTGACAGCACTTGCTCCAACAGTCTGTCAAAGACTTTACGGGGGATCTTTGCCGTTGCCTTTGTGCAGTGGTTCACGCGCCGCGATCGTCACGCTGCGCTGCCTTCGCCTAGCCGCACTGCCGAGTCGCGGTGCAGTACGGTCCCACGAGCCGCAAGGAGTGGTGACGCACTCATGCAGCAGGGGATTGACACAAGGGGGCTGTCCGCGAATGGCCATTTACAGCAGCAGCAGCAGCATTCCAGCGGGCAAACAGCAGACCAAAAACCTGGACTGGATTATACTTCTCTGAGCAGCGGCGTAGCGTGCTTGGCATGGGCCCTGGTGCAAGGAATGAAATTGAGGCCCCCATGTTCAATTTCCTCCCAGATGCATTTCCCGGGACACCTGAGTCCTCCCCCCCCCCACCTCCAGCCCATCAGTCCTGGTGCAATTGCACCGCCTGAGCACCGCCGGTAGCTGGCCAGGCACGCATTTGCAAGGTTCCGCGCTGGGATGCCGCAATTTATCTACGCCAGATTCCGAAGAGCGTTTAAGCACCTTGAGGCTGCGTTAATTGGCACCGCAGTGCTGATATGTGCGGTACATTTCCGACCCACTGCACACTGTGTGCTCAATAAGCCATTCTCTAGCCGCTGCCTCTTTTCATCATCACGCTCCACAGGTGCTCGCTAACCCCGTGAGACTTTGGGTTTGCGGTAAGTTTTGGCCCGGTGCATTTGTTGTTTTTGCTTTGGTTAGCTTGCACATTCCCTCCACGCAGTGTCCTGTAACCGCCGCCAACTGCCAACGGCCTCGAGCTGTGGCCGTCTTTGCGACAGAGCTACTTAACTCAACGGGGCCTTAGCAGCTGAAATAATAAAGCCCGAGTCCGAGCCGCGCACTCAACAGCGGTGCCACCACCTCCGAGTCTCATCGGCAAAGCAAGGCGACCGTCGTTAGAGATCGCACGATGCCCTCTGGGATCCAACCTGTCCCCCACCCCGATACCTTTCGTCTTGAAGGCGAAGCTGCAGATGTGGCAACGGTAAGGTCGGAGGTCGGAGTGCGAGCGGATGTGCTTGCGCAGCATGCTGGGCTTCTTGCAGCGGATGCCGCACTCCTCGCACACGTACTTGCCTCGCCCGCGGCCCCGCACGTACACGTACTCCTCGTTCGACTTGTACCTGCCGGCGTCGCCACGACAACGGCAACCGCAACCACAGTCATTGTCTCTGAAGGCCCGGCCGCCACCACCGCCACTGTCGCCACCACCACCGCCACCCCCATCGTGACCGCCGCCACCCCACAACCACCACCACCACCGCCGCCACCACCGCCACCACCACCGTGACCGTCGCCACCACCGCCGCAACCACTATGGCCGTGGAGTCGGAGCTTCTGAGCGATGCGATTGCGTTAAAGCGGCGATTCTCAAACCCCAGGTCCTCGCGATGCCACACGGCCCCCCAGGGTGTTACCGGTCGTGATTCAAGCTTTGCAAGTTGACGGTCTGATCCCAATCGCCAATAAATGAACAACAAAATCCATCAGGTATGCATTATGCACGTACGCATATACACATATGTTCCAAAAAAAAGTATTAACTCCGCAAAATAATAATTAACGGCTTTGTTTTGATTGACGCGCGACAGGGTGTATATGACAGGTGCGCCCCAAGTGTGCATAAGGGGGCCTAATGAAGAGGCTTCGAGAGTAGTTCGTGACATCATCTTCCACGGGCCGTTCATTGACGCGGGGTGACTCCACCACTTTTTTGCAAACGAAAACTCGTCCTAGCGCACGGACGGTGCCAGCAGCAAAAAAAAGTAATAAAATGACGGGAGTAAAAAATAAATAAAGGAAACTCGATTAAACGAACGATTAAACGAACGGACAACTCAGCCCGACGCGCCTCCGTTTCGTCGTGTCTCCACTCGGCTCATGCCCGAATTAGCGGCGAAGCGAAACTGCTAATTGACTCGCGAAAGCCAGAGCCAGCGTCGCAGTCGGCACGGAGGAAGGCTCCATCCCACGAGGACTCGTTAGGCTTTCTCACTAGGCCCAAACACCCCCAGCCCCCCCCCCCAACCAACCGCTCGTGATTATGGAAACAAAACATGCGGCCGTTTCACCTGCCACTCGTGGCGATATTTTAATTCCTTCGCAACGATCGTAAATGCTATGGAGCCGGCCATCTCTCGCCGCGACCCACCACACCGCACGCCACACGCAACGCCGTCCAAACACCACACCGTCCCACCACAACATTCCCCCAACACCGTCCCTCCACACGCGGCGTTCCTGTCGTGTCTCACCGCAACGCTTGTGCGATCCACCAACCCTCGCTGCCTCCGCAGTGCTGGATGATTACAGGCGTGCACCACTACCACACCATCAGCAACTCAAGTCAGTCCCAGACACGGGGTGACTGAAATGTCAGCATCTTTAAAATATGTTCATGAGCGAACATTCAAGATTCTCTCTTGTGTAAAATAAAAAGTTGGTATTCCACCTCCTCAAACAGAGAAATACGCTCCGAAGTCTGGTTACATTCCATCCGGGAAAATTTTACCGTGGAAAGGATACAGGCGCGTGACCCAACGACAGCCACGCCACCGAAGGGATTACTTTTAGTAAAACGCCGAAGACAATGCCAGGATTTACAAAGCTGCTCATCCTGCGTCTCCACCGTGACTTGCGCCCCAATCGATAACCGTCGGCCGCTCGCACCTGGACAACCGCCAACCTATTTTTGTTGTTGCGTACGAATTGCCGTCGCCCAAATTCACCATTTGCTGAAGCGCCAGGCCCAAAGCCGTAACATTGGCAAACGGTGAGCAAACTTCAACAGCAGCTGTTGTTTTGTTTGCCTGTTATTTATTTTTAAATGATGCACTCTTTTTTTGTATCATTTTTTTTTATCCACTGAGCTATGTAGCTCTTTTTTTTAGAAGCAACCTGGCTGCCAAAAATGATAGCTCAACGAAGGGGCTCATCACGTGGAAATTGACTTATCATGTGGACGCACGTTGATTCTAAATGTCGAGGGAAAAACCGGATGACCCGGAGAAAAATTCACACGACCACGGGGGGAACATACAAACTCCAAATATACAACAGCCGTCAGGGTCAGGATTGAACCCACGACTTCCTGTATATCAGGCAAGTCGGTTAACATCTCGCCACCGTAGCGCCGCATTTGCAACGGTGACCACCAGAGTGTTGACTGACGTGAGCATGATAGCAAACACGTAATGACACGTATACAAAGACAAGGGTCGCCCGTATAACCTTTGCATGCTGTTGGGGCAAGTGCGGTTTGTGAGTGTGGTGGTTGAACACAGTGCGGACGAGATGAAACAGTCAGTCTGATGGAACGAACGAGTCCCGCACACCCAACGCTTCACTACAGTCACTCGCGCATCGGTGGGTCAGTCACCTCCATATCACTCTTCTATTACTACTACCACGGCTTCCATTTCTCCGAACTTCACTCATTCATTCCTCGGTCCATGTCGAGGTCTCGTTCTACCACACAGATTCTTTTATCTCCAGAGACATGTTAACCCTAATCTGTTACACCTTCAAAAGTGCTGTTTGTTTGCCGGCCACTTGGCATGTTGGACCTTTGGGCTTTCTGCACTGCATCCGTATAGCGCCCGCTACTTCGCGCAGCAAACTCTCACCCGCCATCGAAGATCTTGATGCGGCAGGGCAGTGCAGGCTTGGCGGCGCGCGATGGAGAGTCGTGGTGACCCTTGGCCGACCTCTCCCGCACACTCTCCCGCGCGTTCTCCCTCGCTCGCTCTCGCTCCAGCTCCTTCTCGTGGCTGCCCACGACGGTCGCGGCTGGCTTCCCCAGTGGGGCGCAAACTTTCACCGCCGGTATCGGCTGCGAAAGCAAGACACGGCAAAGACAACTCAATGCGGGGGCACCGATTTAATATCGATCGCGGTTATTTTTGCTCTGATTTCTATCCCGTAAATAGGCCACATTTGCAAAAGTTCAAGATAATTACCTTTGATTAACAACCCACATCTGTAAAGAGGATTATTTTGAAATGTTAACGGTAAGACTGCCTGATTTATAATCATCACTTAGTACGTGTATTATTCGTGCCATTGTTATAACCAAGGCGCTGTGTTCCACAGACACGCCGTCTGCGCTAGCTTCACAGTCGGGGGCAATGGTACCCTGTGTGTGTGTGGGCCTCCAATTGAATAATCTGAAGGTAACTTTTAAAATTTGGATTATGATGTCGGCGCAAACCGGTCTACTCTTGCGAACGACATCAGGGAATATTTGACGTCCTCTGTGAAGCAGACAGCTCGTGATTTAAGGTCAACACACCCCCAGTATTATCCAGGATGGCCTGTCGGATGCGAACAAGCGCGCATGTACCTTACTACTGGAACTGCCCAGATAATTTGCGTATTCTCTGGATAATAAGACGCTATGGAACGGCAGACGTACCCCCAAAACGTATGTGCCCAGTGTCAATAAGGTTACACAAATCTGGTGACACACACACACACATCGACCTTACTATAAAACACACACACAACTGTTGCTTTGAATTATGGGGGATCGGGGGGGGGGGGTAAGGGGGGAGGGTAAGGGGGGGACAGGAAAATGGGTCTCCTGATCCAGATAATACGATACTGTCAGACTTTCCAGAACGCTGCCAGTTTTGTTCATCCTCACTGACGAGGCATCTGAGAGTCGTATCATCGGCACTCATAAACAGCATCTGTCTCTTCCGTTCCTGCCCCCCCCTCCACCCGTACTGAATTCATCAGCAACGAACTGAAAATGTGAAAATGTAACGTGGCAAAGTGCCCCCGCCCCCCTGCCCACTGCTTCCCTGCCCCCGCTCCTCCATGCATATAAAAAGGCACAAACATGAATAATGAAGCACTTAAAAACATCACGCACACACACACACGCATCGGCCGGAGCGCGTTCCGAATTCACAGAACATCAGGCCAAGGCACAGGCAAAGGAGTTGAGTGGTGAGGAGAGAGAGAGAGGGGAGGGGAGTGGGAGCGTGCTGAGGAAAGACAAGGTGGAGAGGAGAGGGAGAGGAAGAGTGCGGAGAAGAGGGAGAGAGCTCAAAGGAGAGAGTAGGGGGAGGAGAGCGAGAGCTGAGGAGAGAGGTCAGAGAGAGAGAGAGACATGGCCTGAAGAACGGTTTGATACAAGTTCAGGAAAGCACCAGTTTTCCCAGAAGATGTCGAAACTCACAGATGGAGGAACGTGGGTGATAGAGCGCGACACAGAGAGAGAAGGAGTTTGTGAAGGGTGTGAAGGAAGCGCCGAGCAAGTGAAGAGGAGGGAGGAATGGAAATAGGCTGGGAAGGAATGAGGCAGAGATTAAGCGAGGGTGGAGGATTGAGTGACGAAGGAGGGAGAGATGGATTGAGAAAGGAAGGGATTGAGTGAGGGAACATGGGGGGAGAAGTGAGGAAAAGATGGAAGGAGGGAGGGAGGGAGAGAGGGAGGGAGCCATCACCACACCGATCTGTACAGGCCCTGGCAGGTCCCCGCGCCACGGCCACGCCGGCAGATCACGCGGCACGGCACAAAGGGCGCTTGCTCGGCTCCCTGGCGGCGCGGCGTTGCTCTGATCATTCTTAAAGTGAGCTATTAAAAGTATTATTCCATAAAGAAAACAATTGTACACGATTCAGGGGCTTGATTTTGGCAAGAATCCCCGTTCCACAAAAGAAAATATAATTTTGCCAACAGCGTAGCCAGTTTCCACTTAGCGCGTGAGAGGCCAAACAAGTAAATGCTTTCCCCGATGGCGCAAACACGTGCACATCGCCGCCACCGCCGCCACCGCCACGCCGCTCACATTCCTCACCTGCGCCGCGTGAGGCCTCCTCCACCAGCCCGAGTGGACGAGGGCACAGGCGCTGTCGGGGCAGGCGGCCGCCGTGCTGTAGGTGGACGGCCCCGTCCGCTGCCTGGACCGCAGGAGTGCCAGCGCCGCGTGCGTGGATACGCCGGGGAGAATGCCGCCGCAGGGGCTCCCGCCGCTCTTAGCCGGCTCCCACGGCCCGTACACCGAGGCCTTGCCGTCCGCGGCAGCGGCGGCGGTGTCGGCGGCGGCGACGGTGCTCGGTCGCGCCCGGGCGTTGAGGATGCACCAGGACGCCGGCGTGAGCGTGCGCAGGCCCGGCAGGATCAGCTGCTGAACCTCGGCCAGGTCGGCCACGAGGACGGCGAGGCCCGGCCGGGGGCCCACGTGGACCAGCAGACTCGGGGTGGCCACCGCCTGCAGCACGGGGACCGTGATAGAGCCGGTGCCCCCGTGGGCGGCCGCCCCGGCTGGCAGCAGCACCCGCACCTGCACCGCCGACTTGGTGGTGGCGAGCCCTTGCGGCGCAGAGGGTGCGGCCGTCGTCTCCGTGAGGCCGTGACCGTCGGGTTCCTGGGAGGGCAGCTCGGAGGTCCGAACATCGTCCGCAGGGGCGCCTTGAACACCTCCAAGACGGGTTCCCGGGGCCGCCGGCAACAACCCGCTCACGGCGGCATCGCAGTGTGCCGGGGAGCCATCGCGTTCCACGGGCTCCGTCGTGCAGAACTGCCGGACGAGCACCGGCTTCCTCAGCCGAGGGGGCTCCGCTTGCTTCCTCGCTTCGCCGTTAGTCCCTTGCCGCGACGATGGGTCGGCGGCGCCGCGGGGCCGATCCTCCCCTTCGTCGGGACCCAATCTGCTGCTGGCACCAGGTGGCAGGCGGCAGCCTGACGGCGCTGCCTGCATGACGTCTCCCAGGCGTGCGGCGCATTGGTCCCTCTGCAAGACCGAAGCAGAAACCCCGAGATGGGAAGCCTCGCCGCGCGGCAGCGGTGGCGGCGGGGGTTTCGCCGCCCGCGCAGAACGCTGCGGTGCTTCGTCAGAGGAACCCATGAGAGCGGCGCCTCCCTCCTCACCGGTCACGTGACAGACTACCACGGCAGGCTGGCACAGGCGGGGGTGGGCCAGCTGGGACGGCGACGTGAAGATAGCGCTGGCCAGGGTGGGGTTCCAAGACGGAGGGCCGGCGAACGGGCACCGCTGACGCCAACGGCGACGGCTGTAACATACGGCCGCACGTCCGCAGGGCCGCCCCCACGTCAGCCCTCGGCAACGCTGCATGTGCCACGTGCTGGGCAGTTGTGTTGGTGGACGGCATGTGCTGGGGGTTGGACGAGCGATGGTTTTTCAAGCCAACGTCAACGGGGGTCGATCGCCACTGTTTGGACACGGCTCCCATCGAGCGAGCGTCTGCCACGGGACTCGGCACTGCCTGCTGCACAGCTTGGGCTTGCCGGGCCAGGAGGGCGAGACGAGCTCTCCGAGTGAAAGCGTTCGAAAGGATTTTGAAACGCGTGCCTGGGAAAGTGCTGCTTTTGCTGGTGACACGGCAGGAGATTGTTCTGAGTGTGGGGACGGTGGCAGAGAGGGAGCGGCGGGAATGGCGGCGGAACGGAGGCATGGTGTGGAGCCCACTGGAGGTTTGGCCTGTGCAGCTCGGAGTCCAGTCTCTGTACGGTCAAAGCGTGCTCCGGCAGATATGGCTGTGACCCTGGACGCTCCGAAGACAAGGCATACACTCCGATGCGCTGTGGGATTTCTCGGCGGAAGACCTGATGCTGGGGCTGCTGCTGAACGTCAGCCGGTGAGGCATCACAACTCTCCATCAGCTTCGAGTACTCTTTGGCACTGTGCAGGTGCAAATAACCGTCCACCGCCATGGCAGATGCCGCCGCGCGAGCCGCATCGGGGTGTCCGTTCAAGCTCGCCAGGTGCTCCAGGTACGCCTTCCGGCGCCCTCCCGCCGCGGCCGCTCGTCCAAGACTGGCGGCGACGGGGACGCAGGGTGCCGACAGGATCCCATCGTCGAATGACCTGCTTCGGCCCGCCTGCGGCCCGGGGCCCGCGCCGCACGGTCCGTGCTCTGACGCGGCGCGGCGCATTCCCCTGCCGGGCGGCTGTAGCGGGGAACGCGGCGGCGCGCCCGGCACGGTCAGAAACAGGGCGGCACCCTCCTCCCCGGACTTCTCCGCCGGCTCCTTCTTGGGCTTTTCATCGTCCCCCCCCTCCGCGTGGTCGAGCGAGGCCGACGAGAGGCTGGAGCAGCGCGAGAGGGTGCCGTCCGCGCTCGGGCTGCGGGAGAGCGGGGCCGACACGGAGGAGTCGTTGCTCGATTCCACGGAGGCGTTGCCCAGCTCGCAGAGGCGCAGCCGCTTCTTCTTGGGGGGCAGCTTCTCGGCCGGAAGCTTCTCCAGGGTCTCGCTCCTCCGCGGCCACTGGAACTCTTCCTCCCGCTTCTTGCCGGGCTCCTCCCCGAGGTAGTCGTTCTGCTGTTGGTCGCCATCCGGTTCCACCGTCACCAAGATTTCCGGAATTTTACTTTGCCGGATGAGTCTCCCGTTGCGCGGTGCTTGCGGGTCGGGCTGCGCACCCCCACGCACCTTTGCACCGCCATCGTCCTTCTCGCTGTCAGCTGTCGCAGGGAAGTTCTGCTGAACCGTGATGCCGTCTCGGGCTCGGTCCGCCGACAGGGACTGGCGGAGCACGACACAGCCGGAGCGTCCCGCGTCGGACTTTTCAAACGAGTGGGGGCGGCCGAGCAACTTGGTGTGCTGGATGACGGAGATTTCGTTGTTGCCGGCATGCCGGCCCACGACGCTTTCCAGACTCTGGCCACGTCGTGGCGCGAACCTGGCGGCCGCATTGGCGGGTGACTCCGACGGCGTGACGGCAATGGCCCCCGCCGGCGACTCACGCTCCGCAAAGGGGGTGCGTTCGTGCCAACGCAACATCGCAGTGGGACCCACGCCAACTCCCGTGACGTCCATCGGCGGCTCCTGCACCGGCTCGCCTCCGCCGGACACTGAAGTCTCGCCTCTCACAAAGTCCGGCTCGTCCTCGTCCCTGATGCTTTTGGGTTTTCTCCGTTTTCCCTGCAGCGAGGTGCGGTCCAAGGCCCCCGGACAGTGAGGCAGCCTCGCCGTCACCACGTCCCTCTCCGTGCGGTTGACGCTCACATTAACGCCGCTGCCCTGGCAACTCGGGGCCACGGCCGTCTTATTTTCCAGCGGGACCACCGTTTCAGAGAGCAAGTTGCCGCTGCTTTGCCATATTACGGAGGTGACCTTCGTCTGTTCATGACACTGCCTCCCTTGAATGTCCCTGCAGGCCGGGAGCTCCACGGCCTGCTGCCTCACCAGCGGTCGAGGGTTTGTGCCGTACGCGAGCACCGGAGAGGATCCGGCGATGGAGCCGCCCTTCCTCGGGAAGCACTCGTCGAACGACAGGCTGGCGCCGGCTGGGTGCCCGGCCGACGAATGACCGCTTCGCGAAGGATTGCACGTCGGCATGGAATTGCTGCGGAAGAAACCGCCCGTCTCGAACACGGGCACATCCAAAAACTCCCCGCTCTGGCATTTGGCGCCGCTGAAGACGACGCTCACGGGAGGGTCGGCGCTCGAGCTCCTGCGGCGGCCGGAGTCGTGGCAGGGGTGCGGTCCCTGAGCGCTGGTGCCGCTGCCGGCACCAGCGCCGCCACCTCGGCGAGAGAGCGCAGGGTCACTCCATGTCCTCGCATCCGCCGGCCCCCCCTCCACGTCCTCCTCGTCGTCCTCCACAGTCTCACCACACCAGCCCGTGCGCGCGTAACGCTCGGCCGCGCGACCCCTGCCCGCCGACCCTTGAAAGGCGAATGATGGCGCGTTGTAGCCACCGCCGCCGCCGCTGGTGCCAGTGGTGACGATCGGCGCGAGCGGGCTGGCCAGCGACAGTTCAGTGCTGCCCGAGCGGGAGAAGTAGCCCGAGTCGGTGCTCCCCTTGCTGCTGAACGGACTCGGTGTGAGGAGGTGCCCCGACGAGTTCGACTCCAGTTCCCGCTTGCGCCACAGCCGGTGCTTCGCCGAGCGGAGATCATTGTCGCTCGCCGCCGCCGCCGCCGCCGTGGGAGCCTGCTGCTGCACGTCCGTGCTCCGCTGGCCACTTTCTGTGATGGCGCGGCCACCCTGGCCCGCCCGGACCACCACCACCTGTGGCAGGGCGGAGGCGGCCAGGCCCGGTGTGACTTCTCCTTCGCCGACGTCGTTTCCCTTCCCCATCATCTCCCTTGGAAAGAATTCCTTACTGCGTGTATCCAAAACGCCCTTGTTTGCAAAACAGCGGCTCGGCGCTTCCTCCTTCACCTCCCCCTCTTCACCGAAGAGGGCCGGCGCAGCCCGCGGCGACCTCCATATTTCCTGTCGTGCTTTGAAAGCTCCCCCTGCTGAGGCGTCGATGTCGCGGGGAGCACGCTCGTCCGCACAGCACTCGACGTCCGTGTCCGTTCTCTCCCCATCCGACGGGCCGCCCGGTGGATCCTCCGAGTCCGCACCGAGCCCAAGTCCCTTGCCTGACTCGCCAGCGGGCCAGAGCGGCGCGGCCCGCACGGCGTGGGCGTGCGACTTGCAGTGCTTGTAGAGGTTGCTCTTGGTCTTGAAGGAGAAGCCGCAGGCCAGGCACGGGTATGGCCGCTCGCCCGTGTGCATGCGGACGTGCTTCTTCAGCACGCTCGGCTTGGCGCACGCCCTGCCGCAGTAGGAGCACGCGTACTTGCCCGGCTTCTTCAACTTGTCCTCCCCGTCCCGGCAGTAGTGCCGCCTCCTCCTGCCAACACCTCCGCGGGCACCGCTCGTGCCGTGTGGCGGCGGCGGCGCTTCGTGCGCCGCGCCGGGCCACCGCTTGCCACGAGCCGCGCTGCTGGGAGGCGACCTCCCAGGGCTCCACGCCACTCGGCGGGCCGCAGGGCCGGGAGTCGCGAGGTCGGGGTCCGGCGGCGCTGGAGACAGCCTCGTGAGCAGGCGCTCTCTGTGTGACCTTCCTCCTCGCGACCTTCTTCTTCCACGGCTGGGGACGGTCAGGGCTCCCAAGCAGTGCTCCCACTCCTCACACTGCTTCTGCCGCTGCTGCTCCTGCTGCTGCTGCACGTGGTTGGCCTTTGAGTGCGGTTCTGCGAGCGGCGCGGGCCTCTCCCCGGTTTCCTCTCTGACGCTGCAAGCGGCCGCCCGGCACCACTCAACGTGCGCAACTCCGGCGACAGCAGCCCGATCTGTCGGTCCGCTCCGATCGTTGTCACGGTCACCATGACGATCGGCCACCACCGGCTTGGCGGGGCCCAGCTCCACGGCCCGCCGCGCGGCCTCCAGGGATGTGGCTGCCGAGGCGCGGGGTCTGTTTGCCGCGTCGACAGCTTTGCCGGGAGAGCGACCGGCCTGCTCGACAGCACTGTCCTTGCCGATCATCGATGCGGGAGGAGGAAGAGGAGGTGGAGTTGGTGGTGCCACTGGCCCGGTGCTCGTCATAGCATCGGAGCCGCGGCCATGGAGGGCGCTCACGTGCTCGGCGCCATCGCCCCAGTGGTTGTGGCTGCTTCTCACCAGGGGCAACGGTCGGCTTCTCCGTCGGAGCCGGTGCGGTTTGTCAACGGTTCAGACGGCAGAAGCGGCGCCTCCCCGCCCGTGGCTGAACGTGGTTTCCAAAGTGTCCATCGTAGCGCATTCCACCGCTCGTCACGCGCCTCGACGACCTTTATTCATCCGGTGCCGTGGCGGCCTCGTGCTCCTGAAAAAGATGAGAGACGTAGAATTTACTTCACAAAGTCTCGAAACTTGCTGCTCATTGTCACAACATTCCACCTTTTTGGCTACATTGGTCGACGCACGGCGCAGACGTGGTGAGATGTGACATCTTGTGCCGTTCGCGTAGGCGGCTTAACTATGCATTTATTTATCGATTGAATGAGATTTTTGCACTTGTGGTACTGATGGTAGCTGGGCAGCTCGGGCAGCTGATCGCAACACATGGACTGAATTGCGCGCAGTGTACAGAATGTTCGTTCTAAAACGACAGGGCCGCTGGCTGAGCAAGTGATAGACTGACGAGTGGTTGACGAACCCCCCCGGATCACGGATTCACGGATTGCCATCTAGTAGCGGCCTTACGCATTCTCGCCGAGTCGGGCTGTGTGACCTGTGAACAAATTTTCGAGCCGGTGAGGAGGATTTGGGGGCGGCCAAAGCCCTGTTATCCACCACCACCCGCCAGCTACGGCAAGCGCACCGCAACAAACCGACAGCCGTTTGAGTAGCCATGCAGAGAGTAATGCGACGGTGGCCGGGACACAAGGGCGGGCAACGTTAATAAACCCGGGATCGGATCCGGGTTTTCCAACACCTGTTTTAAACAGCTTTTTGTTTTGTCGGTGCAGTTCGCGAATCAATTTCTACAGCACGACCACGTACGATTGCACAATTAAAAAAACTAAACGGTGGCATTTTTTTTACCTCTTCAACCGAGCTATTAGAACGCGAGCTTCTGGATAGGTTTGGGCAAGTGAATCCTCGTGAGCCCAAGCCACCCGCAGTCTACGAGACCCAGCGCCACGTTGTGCGGGCGCACCTCTGAGCAGCCTGGGGCCTGGGTCCGATTCCCCCAAGTAGGAAACCACTTGGGAAGCCACCCGCAGGTGTAAACTTTCACACCAACCGGCGGTTGCGTGTGCGCGGCGACAGCGACTTGTACAATGGAGATACGTCCTATGGAAAGTTATTTAGGGAACGTGACAATGGGAGTTTTTTTTCTACTAATTTATTCATTCCACGTGGCTGAGAGTCTCGAACGCTTGGATGGGGAACGCACGCACGCAGAGCGAGCGCACACTGAGAGTACAAGACGTCGCGCGCACGCACACACGGCACGGGGACATCGGCACCGGACCCGCACGGCTGCCTGATGATTTCAGTCTCTCGTGAGCCGTGTGATCGGGGGAGGCAATCTGAGAATGATGCTGAATCTTACCGGAAGAGCGGTGGCACCCTGGGGGAGCCACCGCGGTGTAGTGGTCATTAGCGCCACTGGACTTGTGATTCAGAGGTTTCGCCGCTTCCATTGCGTCTCTGCGGGTGGCCTCCACCACCCGACAGTATCAATGGGTACACCGCGGTTAGTGGATGCGCAGGTTGCGTATGGTGGAGTAAAGTGTGGGTAATGTCACCTCTTATAAGATGGTTCGGCCAGCGTGGAAGAGTAGGCGGAAATGCACTGGAGAGGGGGATTTTTCTCGGACTGCCTCTTAATAAAGCGAGTAATTGCAGGGGCTGCGCTTTTAACCTTTTCCATTTTCCTGGCGTTGGCATCCCCCACGTGACAGCATTACAGCACCACGCCAATTATGCGAGCAACACCTCCGCACATACCTAACGAAGATTGGTTTATCGCGCGTTGGTAACAAGCGGCGTTTTCCCGATCAACACCTCCGCGCGTAGCTGATGAAGCAAAGCGCGCTTCTCGCAAATCAGTTTTCCCGACACAATGCGCAGCGGTGGCCTAAAGGTCAACCCCGTGGTCTAAATTGAACGCGCTTTGAATGAATTAGGAAGAGCAGGCGACACTCCCACCAACACAGTGCTATAAGAAGCAGGCAGTTAAACTAAACGATGTTTTATTTTAGCAGGAAAGGCACCACTAGGCTATATAGAGCTCTTTTCCAGAAGCAACCTGGCCACAAATGATAGCTCAACCAAGTGGCTTACCATCGTGTGGAAATTTGTCGCACGTTTCTAAACACTCTAAACACACGTTTCTAATTGCGGTGGGAAAAACCAGAGGACCCGGAGGAAAACCCACGCGGCCTTGCAGCCCAAGCATACCACACCTGGTATCTTTTTTTTTTACCAGGTAAGGCTCAGTGAGCCATACAGCCCTTTTTCAGAAGCGACCAGGTCACAAAGGATAGCTCAACCAAGTGGCTTATCATGTGGACATTTATAGCAGCCAAATACTGTCAAGGCACGTTTCTAAATGCGGAGGTGAAAACCATGGAGGGAACATGCAAACTCCAAATATATAGCAGCAGGCATCAGGGTCGGTATCGAACCCACGACTTCCTGCATACCAGGCGAGGTAGTTAACATCTCCTAGCCACCGTGGTGCCCGCTGCAGGGGCTCCACCTCTACCTTTAAGTTTAAGGCAACGCTTCAGCAGCTGCTTCTCGCGATGTGAGCTGCTCGTCAAAAACATTCTTCGTCGTCAGTGTAAAATAGTTCGCGCAAAAGCTGTGCCCTCGTCGCCTCGGCCATCGGTGGCGCGTCAGTCGTCGCCTCGCTGTGGCGCAGGCCATAAAGCAAGCGACCCAGGCAATCAGCCCAAGGGGGCCCCCGGCATGCACGAGGAAAAGAAGAGACGTGTCAAATTACCAGCTCAAATTAAAATCTTAATCAACACGAGGCGCTGATTGACCCCAATTAACCCTCTCCCATTCCGATGACGGAGGTGTAAATGAAATCAAGTTGTCAGGTCGTCTTCAGGTCGTGAAAAAAATACATAGTAACGTTTCCTCCGGCGTTTTTCATTTTTTTAAATAATACTCTTTTTGTGCTTAATGAAGTGTCTGTGTCTGGTATTCAATGGCTAACTATTCACATGCGCTCAATCATCAGGAACCATTGCGTAAACAGGGACAGTCTCCAACTCTTATCGTCCACTGTCTGTCTGGCCTCCACACTTATTTGCCATGAAGAAGGCCCATTGCCCGAAACGCAGCCTATTCGATTTATTTATTTTAAGGCCACACATACGGTGTAATTATCGAGTGTTTTTTTACGGTAATTGTGTTTTGCACCTTGCTCGAGTGTGTCTGCGTTAAAAGTGCGGTGACGGCATTCCAGAGGAACACCGATGCCGAATTGATTGGATTAATTAAATTACGACCTTTTTTGAAAGAACGACTCCAATGGCACCTCTAATTGAAATCTGTACCCGATGGGGAAAACGGCATCACAGCAAACAGATTTAACGATGCGCGTGCACACATACACACACACACAGATGTAGTCAACCGTGCTAATTGGGGTGCGGGGGAAGGACAGCAACCTACATCGTAATAGTAGAGTCACCGATGTTCACCCATTGATCGTTTCCAGCCCGCTTGTCGTGCTACACCAGACTACGTGGGGTTACGAAGCATCCTCTGAATGCAACCGAGAGTCTCGAGGTATGGTACACAAGAAATCGGGCGAAACACGCTTCTAGAGATTTGAGGAATCTGGATGGAGAGAGATACAGCAGCGTACACATGGAAAGAGGAAGGTCCTGAGTTTGCGATGGAACAGAGGGGGAGGATGTGAGCAAAGGGGACAGATAGAGGAAGGCAAATACAGACACGGGGAACAGCAGCAGAGAAGGAGCAACGAGCCACGCGCTATACTGGCTCTGCCCTCTCATCTCACTCTACTGCGTGGAGGGGAGTAGAGTGAGACGAGAAGGTAGGAGAGTGCATGGAGGGGAGTAGATTGAGATGAGAGGGGAGAGATTGCAGAGTACGGGAAGGGGAGTGGAGTGAGATGTGAGATGTGAGGGGGGAGGGAGGAGAGTGAGCGGAGGGGAGTAGAGTGAGACGAGAAGGGAGAGGTTGGCGAGTAGGTAAAAGGGGAATGCAGGTAGGTGTAAGGAGACAGGTAGGAGAGAGTGGGTTCTACGGAGCGGGAAGGTGGACCGAGGGCGAGCCCCCTGGAGAATATTCCGGACGGTGAGGGCCAACTCACAGCAGCTGTACGACCGGCTTGCGTGACAGTGGAAGGATCTGACGACTGGGGTAACGCAACCTCGTGGAGGTGTCCACGTGCGCGGGTGTGCACGCGGGAACGCTCGGCCGATCGGAGAAGCGCCGTGCGCGTCCCTCTCGCGTTCGCCGTTCGCGCGTTCGCCGATCGACGCCCCCCGCCCCCCCCGTTGGTGCAGCGTGACTCACCCCGAGGGTCGAGGTCCCGTTATAAATAGCGGCGCGACGCAGGAAGCGGCGTGCGGGCGAACGCGCCGGGCGATACGGCGGGGTTTTGGTGAGCACGCGATGCGCTTTGTTGATAACGAACACACCACACACACACAAAACCGCGCCGTGGCTTCCTATTCACAAAGGGGTCTGACGCGGGCGGCTGCTGATCGCTCCGCAATACCGCCCACTCACTCTCTCTCTCTCTGTGTGTCTCCCGTCGACTCCGTCGTTCCGCTCAGACGAGAACGCGGCCCGAGTTCAGCAGAAATTCCTCTCCCGGCTGGCAAATGCGGTCACATGACACTCGCCGCCCCCGCCGTGTCGAAAGGAATTTTCGTTGAGTGCTGGAGTGCCGGTGCACGGAATCAAATATGGGACCTTCCGTCCGGTAATCACCAATGTCGCACCCCTCTCCTTTCTTGTTCAGGGGTCATTCCGGCATGTGGACCCCCGGTGTAGGTGCACCGCGTACGGACCCGATAGTTATGATGTCGCTGGCTGGACAAGACGTTCACACGACCCACGCTGGGATTGCGTGGTTTGACCGCAGCCGATTTGAAAGCGCGCTTAAAAGGCAATGCTTCGTTGCAGAGATAATTGGTTTCCCTCTAATCGTACCTCCACAGAAGAAGAAGCGCTGATATAAATGTCACATTTCAGACCCACTGTTGCAGTTGTGTACGAAAAAATGTAATCCATTCTCAATCTGCTGCTGGAGAGACAGCGACAACAGAAACCCGCCGTGACGACGTTGCAATTATCATCACAGTGCGCCTCGTCGCTCTGTGT